CAGGGCCGTAGACGGGAAGAGGAGGAGACGGTCGGAGAGGAACAGACGCAGGGTCGGGGGACGGAAGGCCTAGCAGGCGAAGGGCTGACACCGGCGGGGACCGCTGCTGCGGCGGCACAACGGCGACACCTGGACCGCAAGCTGCTCCTCGGCTACCACCGGCACACTCCACACCAGCACCCCCAGAGGGACCACCCCCAGGGCGACCGGGACGAGCACCCCCAGAGTCAGCGAACGGGTGCTGCGACGGCGGCGGCGGCGGCAGCGACAACGACGGCTGCAGCGGCGGCAGAGGCGGTGGAGGAGGGGACTGGGGAGGGGACGCCGGGGGAGGGGCGGCCGGCGAGGACTGCGCAGCAGGGCCACTAGAGTCAGAAGACTCCTCAACCGGGTCTACCGACGGAGGGGGGGTGACGTGGGACACACCAAAAGGGGCAGGACGGGGAGGAGGAGGAGGAGGGGCAGGGACTACCGGGGAAGGAGTGACCAGGAACAGGGGGGGGGTAACCGGGGGACCGCGGTGGGGGAAGCGACGGTAGTAGGAGACGGACTCATCAAATGTGACGTCGCGAGAGTGAAAGAAGCGGTGAGACGGCGGGTGGTAAAAGTGCCAGTCGGACGTGTCAAGGGGAAAACCGAGGAAGACGCAAGGAAGGGTGCGGGCAGTGAGCTTGTCCGTGCCGGAGGCACGGACGTGAGCAAGGCAGCCCCAGACGTGGAACGCAGACGCGTCACCAGGAGACCCAGTCCAAAGACGGGTCGGCGAAACCTGCGGCTGCTGAGGGTGCGGCCACAAGTTAAGCTGGTGAGAAGCGTAGCGCACAGCGAACGGCCACAGAAAATGGGGTGCACCGGCATGGATCATGGAGGTGCGAGCCACCTCCATGACCAAACCGATGCGTCGCTCAGCGACCCCATTCTGCTGTGGGGAGACCGGGAGAGTGAACGTCTGGGTGATGCCCTCCGCACGACAAAAGCGACCAAGGACACCTGAGGCAAACTCGCCACCACGGTCGGAGTGAAGACGCAAGACAGGGAGACCGCGGTGGACACGCGCAGAGACAAGCCAGGGGATGAGAGCGCCAGGCACGTCGGCCTTGCGCTCCAGGGGAAAGACTGTGGTGTAACGAGTGAAGTCGTCAACAAACACAAGGAAGTAGCGCTCTCGACGCGGCTCAGGGACGGGGGCGGGGCTCCAGACGTCCAGGTGCAGGGTCTGCAGCGGCGCGGCGGTAGGGGGAAACGAGGAGGAGTGAGGGGCACGGCGAAGCCGACCCTCGACACAAGGCGTGCAAGGTGTGGCTGGGGAGGAGGGAAACGCGGGGAGAGAACCTGGGAGACCAAGGACAAGACCGTGCTGGGACATGTGACGCAGACGCAGGAGCGCAGGGTGACCTAGGCGGTGGTGCCAAAGGAGAGTCGGGTGAGTGAGGGACCGACAGGAGCAGGCAGCAGCAACTTGGGTGAGCGCTCCAGCCGGGGGGGTCACGGTGTCCAGAGTGAACAGGCCGGACACCGGGTCCCAGGGGAACGTGGACAGGGGGGCACCAGTGGCGGCCTCGGTACAGACAGCATACCGCTCGTGACCAGGGAACGTAGTGGTGACGCCAAGGTCCTGGAGGCAGCCAACACCAACTAGGTTCCTAGAGAACGAGGGGATATGCAGACCTGTGAGAGTGCCTGAAGGGACCGCCGGACAGGGAAGAGTGGTGGAAGTGCGGGCGACTACCGGACCGCCGGAGGAGTCAGCAAGAGAAACGGCAGCAGGAACAGGAAGCGGCGTCAGGGTGGTGAAGTCGCGGAAGAAACACCGAGAAGCGCCAGAGTCCAGGGTGAAGGAAAGCGAAGCAGAGGCGTCTGGCGACGGAACGACAGCGGAAGCACCAAGACTACACAAAGCAGGGGATCCTACGCCTGACGCAGCAGGGGAGGCTAAGCTAGGCACACCTACACTAGCCGACAGTGAGTATTAAGCGGGAAGCACACTAGAGTCATCAGCATACATCACATGCAGAGCAGAAAAAATGGCATCCATGTCCATGTCAAAAATCTGAATCTTACGACTAAGCAAACTGTGCCAGTCCGGGAGGTCTGGCGACGGGCCGAAGCGCTGACGAAAGAGGTCGTCCAGGCGACGAAAACAGCGGGGAGTGGAGTGACCGATCTTACCGCAAACGAAGCCGCGGCGAGGACCGGTCTGGATCTGGTACTGACAACGCACGCCTCCAGAGCCACCACTCGGCACACCACCACGCGCCCGGCCACCGCCAGCGCCGCGCCACCCGGGCGGGAGGACACTCGTCTGCCGCGTCTGCGACGGCTGCTGCGGCTGCTGCGAAGGCTGCGACTGCGGCGGCTGCTGCGGCTGCTGCAATTGCAGGGGCGGCGGCTCAGCTGGACTGGGCAGGGTCCCCTCGTCCGCTCCAGCACCAGACGACCCGACTCCACCACCACCCCCTCCCGCACCCCCGCCGCCTCCGCCGCGCCCAACCTTTGGGCGACGGCCCTTCCCCGAACGAAACTGCGTTGCAGTAGCAGTCTCAGCCACTGCGGCAGAGCCGTCGGAGAAGGTACACTGAGCAGGGGCACAGCCCTGAAAGATAGGGACCGGCACTGTACCGCTCGCCTGGGCGATGGAGCGGTGGCGGGTCTCAATCACAGTCAGGGTGTCTACAAAGTCAGTGAGGGTGAGGTCTGCGGGGTGAATGCTAAGGAAGCGGTCGCGGGCGACAGCAAGATGTTCAGGGAGGCGGGTGGCAAGCAGGTAAAGGGTAGAGGTAATGGGCGGCTGGTGGGCTCTAAGTTGTGCGTCAGTGCAGGCAGCGCGCCAGGTGTCATCTATCGAGCGCAGGTGGGCAGCGAGGTCAGAGACAGTGGGGAAAGATGCAAGGTCAGGAAAGAGCATCGGGAGGATCAGGCGACCCACCGAGGCAGCCGGAGGGGTGGAGTAGCGCTTGATGACAGCATCTAAGTATGCCTGAGCAGTAGTGAGGGACCTAAAGCAAGGGCGCTCGGACGGGGGAAGGGCGTTGCTAATGGCAAGCTGGGCGACAGCATCGCAAGAAAGCCAGACAGAGCGCGCTCGGGCAGTGGCAGCAGTAGACTCGCGCTCAGTGGGTGTGGAGTCAGCGGGCAGAATAGCAGGGGGGTCTGGGCAGGGGAGCGTACCGTCAAGGTGTGCGGAAAGTGGTTCACCATCCTGCCGCTGGCCAGTGAGTTGGCACCGGAGGTCGGCAAGCCACGCCTCGAACTCCAGAGGCTGGCCTTCAGCGTCGAAGCGAAGCTCCGCCGCCATCAGGGGCAGTGCAGGACGGGACAGTACGGTGCAGTGAAGTGCAGTGCAAAGCAGTGCAGTGGAGGGCGGTGCAGTGCGGGGCAGGGCAGTGCAGTGCGATGCGGGGCGGTGCAGGGCGGTGCAGTGCGGTGCAGGGCAGTGCAGTGCGGAGCAGGGCGGTGCAGGGAGGAAGGGGGGGGGGGGGGGGGAACCGTACCAGTGAGGACGAAGGGGCCGGGGCAGGGATGAGCGCAGGGGCCGGGCCGCTGCAGCGGGGCCCGGCAGACGCGGCGGGGCCGGGCAGGGCGCAACGAGGCCGGGCGGGTGCGACGGGGCCGGGCCGGTGCAACGGGGCCGGGCGGGTGCGACGGGGCCGGGCGGGCGCGACGGGGCCGGGCGGGTGCGACGGGGCCGGGCGGGCGCGACGGGGCCGGGCAGGTGCGACAGGGCCGGGCGAGTGCGATGTGGCCGGGCGGGCGCGACGGGTCCGGGCAGGGTGCGACGGGGCCGGGCGGGTGCGACGGGGCCGGGCAGGTGCGACGGGGCCGGGCAGGGGGCGACGGGGCCGGGCAGGGCGCGACGGGGCCTGAAGGCTTGACGGGGCCCAAGAGGGGCGCTACGGGGCCCAGGAAGGGCGTTACGGGGCCCAGGAGGGGCACTACGGGGCCCAGGAGGGGCCCAAGAGGGGCGCGACGGGGCCCAGGAGGGGCACTACGCGGCCCAGGAGGGGCCCAGGAGGGGCGCGACGGGGCCCAGAAGGGGCGCTACGGGGCCCTGGAGGGGCGCTACGGGGCCCTGGAGGGGCACTACGGGGCGAGGAGCGCAGCAAGGCCCGGGAGGGTCGCAACGGGGCTAGGAGGTCGCGACGGGGCTAGGGGGTCGCGACGGGGCCCAGGGGGTCGCGACTGGGACTAGGGGGTCGCGACGGGACTAGGGGGTCGCAACGGGGCCCAGGAGGGGCGCGGCAGGGCTATGGGCACGACGGGGCCCAGTGGGTCGCGACGGGGCTAGGGGGGGTGGCACGGCGGGGCCTAGCTTGGGGACGAGCGGAAGCGGTAGGTGGGGGGATCCTAACCTACGCGTGATACCATATCAAACTGAGAGAAGTGAATGATGGGTAGAGTGAGAGTACAGATAGATATACCTAAGTATTGTACCCTCTAAGAGATGACCCTATACAGTCTATGCAAACATAACAAATACACATGTTTGACACCCTCTACACTAGAATCCAGTAACACCTACCAAGCCTACAATTATAGATATATACTATATAATTTAACATAGTTGCCCTGCTGCCATTGTAATATCCCGTCGATGTAAATCCGCATACCGTCGAGCAGTAGCGTTCGCCTTGCGAATAAGTTCGACAGCTTTGTCTTGGGCAGTTTGTAATTCTTTGACGAACTGCTGCGACCATGATACTTGACTCTCAACATTGGTGGAGATAGGTACTGTGGGGTCCATCCCGTAATTGAGGTAAAACGGGGAGTGATTAGTTGTAGCTGAGGGCACGTTGTTGTAGGAGAATTCCAACATGTGAAGTGCGTCCTCCCATTTGTTTCGGTCGGGGCAGTTTGTCAGAATCAGCTGTTCCATCGTTTGGTTTGTCCTATCTGTGTGACCGTCTGTTTGGGGACCTCGGACTCGCTTGGCTTCGCTCGGCCTCGCTTCGCTTCACTCGGCCTCGCTTCGCTTAGCTTAACAAACACAGGTGAATTTTTGGGCTAGCAATCACGTCACTGGCATACATTACATTGAATAGAGCCAGCAGCACACGCTGGTTGATATAGCATTGAAGTGCAACAGCATTCAGGTGTGAATTCTTGTATGGCAAGCTATGCCCAGCAGCTCTTTGTGACCTTCGTCAAACCATATCACCACCCCCCTTCCCCCATGAGCCCACATCCCCCTTGCAAGCCCTCCCCCAGCCATATTCTGGGCGGCCCGTGACACAAACCACAAGCAACTTCTCTCACACCAAGCCCAGGCAAGTCAGCCGCCACCTGCCCAGCAACAACAAGCCTGCTAGTCCCAGCCCAGCACACCCGCTCAATGGCTCACTGCCGCCGCTGCCGCAGCATCAGCAGCAGCAGCGTCAGCAGCGGCGGCAGCAATGGCCTCCTTGCTCCCCGCGACATAGTAGTCCTGCAGCGCCTTCATCTCGATGGGCGACGCTAACAGCCCCCGGATGGCCTTCACTGTGGCTCGGGCCGAGGCGATGGTGGTGATGATGGGCACCTTCTTTCCCAGCGCCGTGCGGCGCAGCAGCCGCCCGTCCTTCTGATCCAAGGCGTCCCCAGCTGATGTGATCACGAGCAGCTGGATCTGACCGTTGGACACCAGATCGCCTGCAGGGGAGGAGGGAGATGAGTGAGAAGATTGCAGTACAGGGGGGTTAGGGGTATACATTCAAAGGTAGTTCGGGGAAAAAGGGTCGTGAGGGAGTAACGAGTTGAGTGAAAAATGCAGCATGTGATAATTACTAGCCCCAACCACTGACCCCACCCCCGCGTGCCCTTCATCCAATCACCCACATGCGGCCTTCCTTCATGCAGCTTGAGCACCCTCTCCACCTCGATGCCCCAATACTCCCTAACCTCCAAGCCCTAACCCCCTCACTCACACCCCAATGCCCTCCATTCAATCGATCCCCCCCCCCCCCCCCTTCATTCATCCACTCACCCGCATGTGGCCTTCCTTCATGCAGCTTGAGCACCCTCTCCACCTCAATGCCCCCATCCTCCAGCACATTGGCCGTGCCCTCCGTGGCCAGGATCTTAAAGCCCAGCTCCACAAAGCTCTTGGCCACCTCCACGCCGCTCTCCTTCGTCTGGTCGTTCAGGCTCACAAACACCGACCCGCCACTCGGCACCTGCTGGTTCGCCGCGATCTGCGCCTTGAGGAACGCCTTTTCAAAGCTCACATCCAGCCCCATGACCTCCCCGGTGGAGCGCATCTCCGGCCCCAGCAGCACGTCGCACCCGGGGAACTTGTCAAAGGGCAGCACGGCCTCCTTGACCGACACATGGTTGGGGATGACCTCCCTCTCGAAGCCCAGCTCCTTGAGCGTTTGCCCCGCCATGACGAGGGACGCGTAATTGGCGAGGGGGTGGCCGATGGCCTTGGCCACGAAGGGCACCGTGCGGGAGGCGCGCGGGTTGGCCTCGATGATGTACACCTCGCCCGTTGGCATCACGGCATACTGGCAGTTCATCAGCCCCACCACGTTCAGCCTGGGGAAGGGTTTCGGGGTTGGGGGTTTTGGGGAGAGAGGAAGAAGGGGAGGGGTGAGTAGGTAATGTATGGGATGATGATGTTCACAGTACCGAATCTTACAGCTTCTGTGTGGGAAATGCTCTCTCGCTCTGTGCCGAATTCTCTCTCCTACCCCTCTTCTCCCAACCCCCTTGTCCCCCAAGCACTCACTTCCTGGCGAGGCGGGTGGTCCAGTCGCGGATGGTGGCGAGGGCGTCATCGGAGATGCTCTGCGTGGGGATGGAGCAAGCCGAGTCCCCCGAGTGCACCCCCGCCTGCTCGATGTGCTCCATGATGCCCCCGATGGCTACCGCGCCCGTGCTGTCCGCCAGACAATCCACGTCCAGCTCAGTGGCGTTCTGGCAGGCGTAAGGGGCACATAAGGAGGCAGGGGTGGAAACAGGGCGTCATGAGAGCCTGGTTGATGTGCTCCAGGATGCCCCCGATGGCCACCACTCCTGTGCTTTCCACCAGGCAGTCCACGTCCAGCTCAGTGGCGTTCTGCCATGGGAAGCAGGGGCGAACATGTGAAGCAGGGGGGTTACCACATGGTGGTATCCCGATTTTTTCCTCATGCCCCCTATGGCCACTGCGCCCATGCTGTTCGCCAGGCAGCGGACATGGAGCTCGGTGGCCCAGTGGCTCAGTGACGTTCTGGGCAACTGAGTGGGGGTCAATGAGGGGTATGGGGGACAACAGTGAGAGCCTGTTCCATGTGGCATGCTCTCCATGACCCTGCCCCCCACCACACACCACACGCCAAGCCCCGCCTCCGAGCACACACCACAAGGCAAGCCGTCACACGCAGTAGCAGCCATCCCCAATGCACTCACCGAGAGGTACTTGTCGACCAGCACCGGGCGTTCAGGGTCCACCTCCACAGCTGTGACCAGGTACTTCTGCAGCGCCGCATCGTTGTACACAATCTCCATGGCCCTCCCGCCCAGCACGTACGACGGGCGCACCACCACGGGGTACCCCACGCGCTTGGCCACGGCCAGCGCATCCTCCTCGCTCCTCGCAATCCCCCCAGGCGGCTGGTTGATCCCCAGCTCATTGAGCATCGCCTCAAACCGCTTCCGGTCCTCCGCTGCATCAATGGAGTCCGGCGACGTGCCCCAGATGCGCACCGGCCCCAAGCCGCTCGCCGCCTGCAGCTGCGTCTCCTCCAGATACCGCTGGATGGGCACGGCTAGCTTCAAGGGAGTCTGCCCGCCGAACTGCACAATGATCCCGTCGGGCCGCTCCAGGTTGATGACGTTGATCACATCCTCCACTGTCAGGGGCTCGAAGTAGAGGCGGTTGGACGTGTCGTAGTCCGTGGAGACGGTCTCCGGGTTGCTGTTCATCATGATAGTCTCGAAGCCCGCAGCTTGCAGCGCGAATGACGCGTGGCAGCAGCAGTAGTCGAACTCAATCCCCTGCCCGATGCGGTTGGGTCCGCCCCCGAGGATGAGCACCTTGCGCTCTGCGTCCGGCTGCCCCTCGTTCTCATCGTCGTACGACGAGTACTGGTACGGCGTCATGGCCTCAAACTCCGCCGCACACGTGTCCACGCGCTTGAAAGCCGGCTCAACCCCCAGCTCCAGCCTATACTTCCTCACCTCCTCCTCCGTCGACTTCAGCGCGTACGCAATCTGGCGGTCAGAGTACCCCCTGCGCTTGATCTGCAGCATGTCGTCGCGGGTGAGCGCCCTGAGCTGCCCGTCCAGCTTGCCCATAAAATCCTCCACCTCGAGCAACTCCCCCATCTGGGAGAGGTACCAGGGGTCCATGTTGGTGAGCTGCTGCACCTGGCGCTGGCTCATGCCGCGCTTCATCGCCGCGTAGATGGCGTACATGCGGTCAGGGTTCGGCACGCGCATCGAATACTTCAGCTCGTCCATGGTCCACTCGAGCTGCTTCACGCGCTCGCACCCCCACCCTGAATGGCCGGTTTCGAGGGAGCGCAGCGCCTTCTGGAAGCTTTCCTGGAAGGTGCGTCCGATGGCCATGGCCTCGCCGACGGACTTCATTTGGGTGGTGAGGGTGGGCTCGGAGCCGGGGAACTTCTCAAAGGCGAAGCGCGGGATCTGGAGGAGGGGGGGAGGGGGGATGGGTTGGGATGGAATGCCGTATTAGCAGCCTGCCTCGCCCACTGACTGCAACTGCGTGGTGAGGGTGCGCTCGGAGCCGGGGACTTCTCAAAGACGAACCACCGAGTCTGGAGGAGGGGGGGGAGAGAGGGGCGGGGAGAAAGGGGAGAGAGAAGAGAGGGGGGGTTGGGAGAGGTGGGTGGCAGGGAGGAAGGATAGGGGGTGGCTGCTTGGACGGGTTGCTGTGAATGGGCTGCTCGGAGCTGGGGCACTGGTGAAAGGCGGAGGAGGGAATCCTTCTATTCGGGAGAGGAAGGTGGAAAGATGAACAAGCTTAGAGGTGGAAACATCAACTGGCGGAAGGCTCACCTTGGTGACCACGTAGTCAATTGAGGGCTCGAAACTGGCAGGGGTCTTCTTGGTGATGTCATTGGGGATGCGGTCCAGCGTGTACCCCACAGAGAGCTTGGCAGCCATCTTGGCGATGGGGAAGCCGGTGGCCTTGGAGGCGAGCGCGGAGGAGCGGGAGACGCGCGGGTTCATCTCGATGACCACCACCTCGCCGTCCTTGGGGTTGATGGCGAACTGCACGTTCGACCCCCCGCACTCCACACCGATCTCGCGGATGATGGCCACCGAGTAGTCACGCAGGCGCTGGTAATAGGTCGGAAGGGGGGGAAGGGAGGGGGGGAAAACGGTGCGAGAACAAGGGGAGAGAGACGGGATGAATCATGAAAGCACTCCACGCCCATCTCGCGGATAATCGCCAGAGAGTAGTCACACAGGCGCGGGACGGAGGGGGAGAGGGGAAGGGGAGGCCAAATGGGTCTTGATTTCAGCCAGCCTTTCCTGACAACCCCTGAATACAGGAGACAAGATTCTAGACCCTGAACCCCAAACCCCGGACCCTACATAGTGGTGCCCCAAAACACATGCACCAGGACACCACGGCTTCTACTCTGGTATCCCACCCTAGCTGCCCCTGATTGATTGACTCAGTCGGCGAGTGTCTAATCGAAGACCCATCTGCTACCCCTCCGAACTGCCTCACCAGCCACCCCTTGTGTCCCCCACCTGGTACTCCTTGTCTGTGAGCGTCTGGGCAGGGGCGACGGTGATGGAGTCGCCGGTGTGCACGCCCATGGGGTCGATGTTCTCGATGGAGCAGATGATCACCACGTTGTCCGCCAGGTCGCGCATCACCTCCAGCTCGTACTCCTTCCACCCAAGAAGAGACTTGTCGATCAGCACCTGCGACATGGCAAACGAGGGGGCAGGTGGGCGCATCAGGGTGGGCGCATCAGCATGTGGGCGAGCCTCGCGTCACCGTCAGCTCGTACTCCTTCCACCCCAGCAGCAACTTGTGGATCAGCACCTGGAGGAGGAAGGGGAATTGTCGATCAGCACATGAGGGCAGCACGTGCAGGGGTATGGGAGCCTATCAGCACGTGTGCGCCTCACATCATCACCGCCGGCTAGTACTCCTTCCACCCCAG